CGTAGTCAGATAGGCAGACAGGTAAATGTGTGAGATAAGTTTGTATTTTAGTTAATACGCAGTAAAAATCAGATACGCTTGTGCTATCAAAAATATAGTTTATTCCATTAGGAATTATAGCATAGTCAAAATAAACGGTCCATTAGTCATGTATCATTTCAGTCAGTCCAGTCGGGGATACTCAATTTGCAAAGTCCGTGTTGAATAGCCAATGTCAGTTCACTTACAATAAATCGGTCCGTATTATCTCTTCTCACCGTTGAGAAATCAACACTCCTTTCTCTCCTCCGTTCCAGTAAGGAAAAACGCAGTCATCAATCCATCCAGTAATTAGGGATCATTAAGCCAGAGAGAGAGAGCTGCAATTGACTTGCTTCTTTTATGGTGCTTTTACAACCACACCCTTAATTACATTCTTGTAGTTAAAGTTACACACACTTTAACCAACAAACCATGATAACTTATTTATTATTTTTACCCAAACCAGTTAGGGTAAACAATGTTATCCCTAACACACTGTACGTGAAATGGCCCCCAGGACGCTTTTATTTTGTTTCCAGGAGGAAACTGAACTTCCTTGGGTTTTTTTTCTTTTCTTTTGAAGGCGCTTCGCTTCTCCTCCAAGAATCTTCTTCAGCTCTGACTGGATGGTGGGGACTGGGAAGGATTTGTCCTCCTTGCAGACAGTTGCATCCTTTTTAGAAAGTCACTGAGGCTGCTTGGAGATTGATTTGTCTCAGTGTCCCCTGTGCTCCTGGTTCCTGCAGTCTGCAACTGACCTGGATGACGGAGAATCTCTACAAACTTTTAGCTATATAATTTGCAATGAACATCCTTTGACTGGTATGGGAGTAGGAACGGGTTTCCTGAAAAAAAATGCAGACTACAAGAACCATTTGCACTACTCAGGGGACCCCGAGAACACAGATAAACCTCCAGGTGGCCTCAACGTCTCTCTAAAAAGATGCAAATGATCAGCTGTCTGCCAGGGGTATCAATCCTTCCGTTCCCTACCATCAAAGCAGAAGAAGCTTCTTGGATGAGAAGCGAAACCTCTTCAAAGAAAAAAACAAAGTTGCCACTTTGGAACAACCACAACCTGGAGGACAGAGAATCTCCACCGACCACACGTGAAATAAACCATCCTTTTCTCCCCTCTCCGCTCAGGAACGGCCGCTGGCGGAGGAGGAAGACGGCGAGTTTGACGTGGTGTTCCAGCTGCGGCGTAAAAGCGCCTTGCACAGCATCCTTCGTTTTGTGCAGAGGAGCGTCGCCCGCCTGGACTCTCAACAAGGCCTCCACCCCGTCGCAATCGAGAGCAAGGTGGTCAAAGTCACCAACCTGTCCAGAAGGTGCGAGCCCGAGGCAGGGGGAGGGAGCCGATGTGGGCAGGGGAGAGGCGGGAGCCCAGCGTTGGGCACCGCCATCTTGGGACGAGGGGCGAGGAGAACCGCGTGGCACCTTCCCTGGTGGGGGGCTCCAGGCTGGGAGTTTGTGGGGAGCCACAGAACGCAACCGTGAAGCGTCCGCTTGCACTGCGGGGCAAACGGGGACTCGGGTGCCTGGACGACAGGTCGTCCTCGCCTTACGACCGCGATCGAGGCCAACATTTTGTGTTCTGAAGGCGGGAAGCTTTGTGGAGGGAGTTTCCACCTTGTTTTGGCGACCTTCCTGGCCACCATTGTCGAGGGAGTCGCCGCAGTTGTTAAGGGTAGTAACCTGGTTGTGTGAAGCGAATCTGGCCCCCCCCCCCGTCGATTTTCCTGGTGAGAAGGGCATCGCGGAAGTCCCCGGATGCTGCGACGGTCGTAAACATGAGCCGGTGGCCAAGCCAGTCTAAATTGGGATGTTAAAAAAAAAATGGGTCCCAAGTCCCTCTTTTTCAGGGCCATTGTAACTTTGAATGGTCACTAAATGAACTTGTTGCAAGTCGTTGTAATTTTCTGTCAGCCGCAGGGGAGAGAAAAGCACACTCAGCCCTTGAAAACAGGTTGGGGGAAACAGAGACGTGCAATCCAAACAAAAGGAAGGTGGGGAGGGAGCAGGCTGGATCCTGCTGTCTCTCTCTCTCTCCCCCCCCTGTCTCCTCCTCCCTCTCTCCCTCCCCTCCCTTCTTCTCTTTTTCCCTGTCTCTGTCTTCCTCGCTCCCTTGCTCTCTCCCTCCCTCCTTCTTCCTCTTCTTCTCTCTCTCTCTCTCTCTCTCCCCCATCTCCGTCTTACTCCCTCCCTCTCTCCCCCCCTTTTTCTTCTTCCTCTTCTTCTGTCTCTCCGTCTCCCTCCCTCCCCCTCCCTTCTTCCTCTTCTTCTCTCTCTCTCTCTCCCCCCGTCTCCATCTTACTCCCTCCCTCTCTCTCTCCCTCCCCCTCCCTTTTTCTTCTTCCTCTTCTTCTGTCTCCCCGTCTCCCTCCCTCCCTCTTCCTCCCTCCCCCTCCTTTCTTCCTCTTCCTCTCTCCCCAGCCCTCCTTCTTCCACTTCTTCTCTCTCTCTCTCTCTCCCGTCTCTGTCTTCCTCCCTCCCTCCCTCCCTCTCTCCCTCCCGCTCCCTTTTTCTTCTTCCTCTTCTTCTCTGTCTCCCCCTCTCCCTCCCTCCCCCTCCCTTCTTCCTCTTCTTCTCTCTCCGTCTCCCTCCCTCCCCCTCCCTTCTTCTTCCTCTTCTTCTCTCTCCGTCTCCCTCCCTCCCCCTCCCTTCTTCTTCCTCTTCTTCTTCTCCCTTTTCTCTCTCTCCCCCATCTCCGTCTCCCTCCCTCCATCTCCCTCCCTCTCTCTCTTCCTCCCCCGTCTCTGTCTTCCTCGTTCCCTTGCTCTCTCTCCCTCCCTTCTTCTTCCTCTTCTTCTCTCTCTCTCTCTCCCCCCCCGTCTCTGTCTTCCTCCCTCCCTCCCTCTCTCCCTCCCGCTCCCTTTTTCTTCTTCCTCTTCTTCTCTGTCTCCCCATCTCCCTCCCTCCCCCTCCCTTCTTCCTCTTCTTCTCTCTCCGTCTCCCTCCCTCCCCCTCCCTTCTTCTTCCTCTTCTTCTTCTCCCTCTTCTCTCTCTCCCCCATCTCCGTCTCCCTCCCTCCATCTCCCTCCCTCTCTCTCTTCCTCCCCCGTCTCTGTCTTCCTCGTTCCCTTGCTCTCTCTCCCTCCCTTCTTCTTCCTCTTCTTCTCTCTCTCTCTCTCCCCCCCGTCTCTGTCTTACTCCCTCCCTCTCTCTCTCCCTCCCCCTTCCTTTTTCTTCTTCCTCTTTTCTGTCTCCCCATCTCCCTCCCCTCCCCTTCTTCTTCCTCTTCTTCTTCTCCTCCCTCTTCTCTCCCTCTCCCCCGTCTCCGTCTCCCTCCCTCCCTCTCCCTCCCTCTCTCTCTTCCTCCCCCTCCCTCCTCCTCCTTTTTCTCTTTCTCTCTCTCTCTCACACACACACACACACGCCCAAGGCTCAGCCGGTGCTTCCCTCCGCAGCCTCTCCAGCGAATGGCACACGAAGGCCTCGCGCACCACGTCCCACTGCAACATCTTCAAGCTGCCCAAGCCGGTGCACAGCCTGCCCTCCCTGGACTCCGTCTCGTCCTCGCAGCAGCTGATCACCCTCCGCCCATATGGCAGCGCCAAGGAGGTGGGTGGGGCTGGGGAGGATGGGTCTGGGGGCGGGGGGGGGGAGAGAAGAGAAGGGAGCCTGGCTTCGTAGCGAAAGGGGAGGGGAGGCTTCCTTCTGTCGCTTTGGGTCCCTCGTTGGAACAAGAGGGTTTTCTAGTCCTCATGAAACAAGAGTTTTCAGTCTTCATGAAACAGGATTCTAGTCCTCATGAAAGTTTTCAGTCTTCGTGAAACAGGGTTCTAGTCCTCATGAAACAAGAGTTTTTAGTCTTCATGAAAGTTTTTAGTCCTCATGAAACAGGATTCTAGTCCTCATTAGTTTTTAGTCTATGAAACAGGATTCTAGTCCTCATGAAACAGGATTCTAGTCCTCATGAAAGAGTTTTTAGTCTTAATGAAACAGGATTCTAGTCCTCGTGAAACAGGATTCTAGTCCTCATGAAAGAGTTTTTAGTCTTAATGAAACAGGATTCTAGTCCTCGTGAAACAGGATTCTAGTCCTCATGAAAGTTTTTAGTCTTCATGAAAC